CCATCAGTGTTCTATTTGATGATGACAGGATCAAGAAAAAGTTCTATATCTAAGTCAGTCATCTGAGTCCTTTTCATCAGCCCTTACTTACTGCCTCCCCTTTTCCTGAAAGATGCTTTGAAATACAGAGACTTTGCAGAGAAACTGACATAAAAAAAATGGGAGCTAGAAAGCAAGCCAGATGTTCTTGGGCTTTGTTTGTTCTACAAGCATCAGGTTCTTGTGTGCCTGAACTACTAATTCTAATTTCAATATTCTTGTTTTTTTATTATCAGACATTGCTTCTGGCATAAGACTTGCAGTGCTTGCTTGAAGCAGTCTTTATTGGTTGCTGTCTGCTACAGTCACTGGAAGTTGCTGTTGCCTGACTTTGCTCAGTGGCACCTGGCACATGTCTTTATTTCTCAGCGAAAGAAAAATTCCCGACTCTTCACAGTTGTCTTCTTATTGAACTTAATTATCCTCATTTGTTTTGAATATGAACGGCATCATTCCTCCTGGATTTCAGTCTGAATTTATTTTTTGAATGGCTAAATATTGTATGAAACACATCAGTAGGGTCTATAGTCAATTCTTATAAGAAGCAAAAACCAACATATAAAACCAATTTATTACAATTTTGTAAGTATTTTAGTTGAGCAAAGAACCATAATCTGGCACCAAGGAAAATATATTCTAGATCCAAACAAGTGGTGCTCTGTGGGTGCCTCACACAGCAGTTGTCTCAGAGAACTGAGACTATCTCCTGCTTCTGTGGAGAAAAAATGAAGCTTTAAAACAAGTAGCATCCACTGCACTTGCTAATTATGGTTTAACCACCATAACATTACAGTTAGACAGAGGAGAACATAATGCAGCAGATGTAAAAGTCAGCTCAAATCTCAGCCATACAACAATACAGACTTTTATTTATTGCCTGTGAATTGTGTTTGACGGAGGGAGTTGTTAAGAGAACACAGTATTTTTGAATGCTGGAATAAAAGTATTTATCTAACACTGCAAATGAAGGTAGATCAAATTCCTCTACACCTGCCAACCAGGAAAGTGCATTGTTAAAACTTATGGACCACCTACAGAAACACTCTTAGACAAAGGATTAAACAGAGTGAGGAGAGTTTATTTCCTTTTCACTGTCCTAAGAGAAAAGGCTGTAGAAACGGGGGGGGGCGGGGGGGGAGTGGGGGGGAGAGACAGATGGTGGGAACAGGGACTGGTTTTAAAAGGAAAACAGCTAAATAAATGAAGATACATCTGAATTTCAGCAGTAAATAAGGGTACAACATAAAGAATATGGGGTTTGGTCTTGGTTATTTTAGGTTCTTTGTTCTCTTACACTGCTTTCAGACAGAATTGGAGTACCCTGGAGAGGAAATAAATCGGCTGTGGGAAAGAGCCATGAAGCAGCATAAATCAGGGAGAATTGCTGCTGCATATTTCTGAGAGGTTTTGGTGCATGCAGAGAAACAGCTGAGAGCAGGAGGAAGTAGGTAAGTCTCAAAGGGGAAGGAAAAGGCACTTTCTAGGTTGCAGAAAGGCTCAGAAAGAGTCTGTGCCAGCTGGAACAAAGCCTGAAAGCAAGTGATTTCCTCTGAAGGGACATGACAAGTTTAAAAAGAGGTGCATCTGAAACCCTCCTAGTTCTAGTCTATCACAACATATTAGCTACACTTTTATCCACTAAACAGGTTGAGAATCCTAGCTTGCATTCTAATAATACTGCTTCCACATAGTGGTGTTTTCATTTAAAAGCCTTTTGGTCTCTGTAAGGTTACAAATGTTTAGGCAGAAATGACTGACAGTCCTAGCAGATTTGAACAGCTATGACAAAAGGACAAATGGTTGGGCAAAGTTGGGTGTAAACAGAAGGGTCCATTAAGGGCACCTGTCATGTAGAAAATGGGCCACGGCTACGGGAGGAAGAGCTGGACTAGCTCTAGTACATATTTATCTGCAGTCCAGTCCAATTCCATGTTGACTAGCTCCTGGGGAATCAGCCTGGCCTTGGGGTTCGGACATCCACGACTTCTCAGGGCAACCACTTTCAGTATCTCATCGCCCATTTTCCTAATATCCAATCTAAATCTATCCTCTTTCACCTCAAAGCCATTCCCCCTTGTCCTGATACCATATGCCCTTGTAAAAGTCCCATTCCAGGTTTCTTCTGCGCCCTCTCTAGGCACTGGAAGCTGTTCTAAGGTCTTCCTGGAGTCTTCTCCAGGTTGAGCAAACCCAACTGTCTCAGCCTGTTTTTCATAAGAGGTGTTCCAGCCCTCAGATCATCCTCATGGCCCTTCCCCGAACTATGATCTATGATTGTACATCTACTGGATGTGTGTCCGTCAACTGTGGTAACTCCTCCTATGAAAGTCTGCATAGGCTCCTGGTGAACCTAGCACTTAGAGCAAGTTTCCAGTTGCAAGCAATGTGATTATTCGACTATATGAATAAACTCCTAAATTTTTGTCCTTCAAGAATGTGAAAGGCACTTTAAACGATGCTTGGAAAATCGTGTACAGTTTTTGTGTGAATATAAGTCTGTGATCTTGTACTACTTTGAGACCAAGGTCTTTAGAATCTCTGCAGATAAGCAGATAAGATTTTGTGGGGCTTTCACTAAACTTAATCTGTGAAAGCTGTGTGAGTGCAGGAGTTGGGGCTGTTCAGCCTGGAGAATAGAAGGCTCTGAGGAAACCTTATTCAGGCCTTTCAATGCTTAAAGGGGGCTTGCTTTTCAATGCTTAAAGGGGGCTTATAAGAAAGATGACAGACTTTTTAGTGAGGCCTGTAGCAATAGGACAAGGGGTAGATTCAGACTAGACATAAAGAGGAAATTTTATACCATGAAGGTGGTAAAATACCAGATCAGGTTGCCTAGAGAGGTTGTAGATAGCCCATCCCTGGAAACAGTTAAGGTCGGGTTAGAAGGAGCTTTGAGCTACCTGGTCTGGTTGAAGATGTCATGTACAGGGAGGTTGGACAAGATGACCTTTAAAGGTCCTTCCAACTCAAACCAGTTTTTGATTTACGATTAAATTTGCCAGTGCTCAAAGGGTTCAATTGCCCTGCAGAGCTGCTCTTCAAGTGTTGTGGGGCACTCGCCTCTATATCACTCCTATTAACAAGGAACTTCTGTAATGATTTCTTAGTTTGTTAACTTAGAGCCTACATTTGTTCTTCCTAATCTGAGAAACGTCAGCTTATGATAACTTCAAGAATGTGTTTTAATATGTTACGGATCCTTCTGTTCCATCAAAATAAGGTAATTCATCAATATTTGAGTAGTGAAAGACATAACAATGACCATAAAATGATGGGACTATTTTAAACAGATATTCTGTACAGCAGACTGCCCCACAGTTTTCAAGTCTTTTGTTGGTTTTGGATGGGTTTCTTTTTTCTTTTTACCTTTTTTTTTCTTTTTCTGAAAAGAACATCTACTTTCTCCCTATGCTGAACAAGAAATTCCTGCTAATGAAAAAGGAGTGGTTTGTGAAACTTCTAATGCTTTGACTAAGCTTCATGCTTTGATCTGAAGATACATGTTACTTGTGGCACAGGTTGTCCAAATCAGGTCCACTGGATAGATAAAGCTGTTGTTTATTTTCTGTTAATTTCTGTAAGAGTCCTGCGTTCTTAAAGAAGATCTAAAGCAATCTGGCTGTGTGCAGTGAAAAAATCCTCAGCAGCCTTTCCCAGTAGTCACCAACTTTAACATGATTATGCGAGTAGAACCCTTCAACTGATTGCTTTGTAAAAGCGGATAAACATTCGTCCTCTTTAACCACTCTAAAATCAGTAACTGCAACTTTATCTTGTCAAAGGAGATCTACAGAAAATAATTCAGTCTCCTCCTTTGTCATGGTCTCCCTGTGTACCCTGCTGAGCTAAACTAACAAGTAGGCATGTACATTGGCACAACCATGTAATGTGGCAGCCTTAGATGTGTTAGAAAACAAGACCTGGACAGTGAAGATATGAACTCCCCATGGAAAAGTTAAAAGCTTTTTTTTAAAACATTCCTGTTACAGTCTTGTAAAGGGAACTCAGAAGGCTTCAGATGTTTCCTTTACACCCTTAGCAATTCTTTGTGAAACGAGTCTGAAAACCTGTTTACCAAGTAAAGCTATCAGTCCTCCTCAAGTCATAAATACCAATCCACACTCCCATGCAGGACTGTGCTTGTTCATGATGTGTTTCTCAAATTTAGAAGAATCACTGAGTTGAAAAATAACATTCAGGCTTTAAAAATCTAAACCATTTCTGAAAAGCATTCAGACGAACACTTTCTAGGTTGATTTCTTCTCTGTAAGTGCAATGATCATTGACCTTGTAGGCAAAATGCACCACAGATGTTTAACTGCTCATAAATTATAGTAATTTCAAACTTCTGGGTTATATGAATATTTTTTTCTTGAAAAAGGCCATGCATTCTACTTTTGTAGAATGGCATGCCTTAGTCACACTATTCAATACTCCCTTCGTCTCAGATCTTCTACCTTAACAGCTTATTTACATATTAACAACATGTATTATCCCTGTAACCTATATGCTTACAGAGTGATATCATCAGGTGTAAGTTAGCACCATGATTTCTTTACATGGAATCTGATGAACTGATGTGTGGATTTGAAAGCCAGAGGAAGATTCTTTGACAAGTTTCTCTGACCTTATGAGTAACATAAGCTTTTATATTCCAGGAGAATGGAGTACGTCAAGTAACTGGCCCGGTTTCTTATCATTTTCATAAAAAAAAAAAAGAATCAGTAAGATTTTGCTAGATTTAGTGGTTGAAAGAGTCTGGTGTAATAAACACCTGAAGAAAAGTACAAAGGTCAGTGTCTACAGAGCCATTGTATTGTCTATTCTTTTATATGGTCTGAATCATGGGTCATCTACTGTCATCACCTGCGACTCCTGGAACTCTTTCATCAGCGCTGCCTCCGTACAATTCTAAACATCCACTGGACTGACTATGTGTCTAATGTCACTGTCCTCGAAAAGGCAGGGGTCACCAGCATCGAGGCCATATTGCTGAAATTGCAGCTGTGCTGGGCAGGGCACATCTCTAGAATGAAGGATCACCGCCTCCCCAAGATCGTGTTTTATGGTGAACTTGCCAACAGTAGCCGCAAGAGAGGTGCCCCAAAGAAGAGATATAAGGACTCCGTGAAACAATACCTTAGCCTTGGCCATATTGACTACCATCAGTGGTCCACCTTGGCCTCCAATCGGGAGACTTGGAGGCACACCATACGTAATGCCGCTGACTCCTTTGAGTGCTCACGAAGAACTAGTCTCGAGGAGAAAAGACAACGCAGGAAGAATCGTGTCCCACTTGTTCCACCCAAGGAGACCTTCTGCTGTGCTTTTTGTAGCTGGATTTGCCTATCCTACGTTGGCCTTCTTAGTCATCAGTGCGCTTGTAGTAAGCGTGGGTAAAAGCCCTTCCCAAATCTTCGTTCGCGAAGTCAAGCCATGATGATGATGAATACCCTGTGCAGTGCAACACATCCCCTTCTAAGAAAAACAGCTATTTTCTAAACTGTCATGTGTCCAAGCCCATGATAAGGTTGCTGCTTATATACCCAGAAATACCTGAATCCCAAAACTGTTTAGTCATGGTCCAAAATAAATGTCATTTAATCCAGTGTCACTGCATTCCACAAAACATGTTTCACTTTCTTCTTCAGATAATACATTTCTGCCTTCTGACTGGACACAAATCACTTTCAGTCACATGGCAATATGTCATAGAGAAGATAAAACTGAACAGAAATTAAATATTTACCTCCTAGGAACATTCTTCTTAGGTGAAACTCATATATGTCTATTCAAGAGGTAAAAAATTAAAATTTGAAAATGGCCATGATTTTCCTCCAGTGAATTCTGATTTACAGAGAAGTCAATGAGATGATGTTAGTTTAGCAGAGCCATCAGATTTAAGTTTTTGGCTTTTTTTTTTAAATACTGCTTCTATTTCTGACATGAATGCAACTGAGGAAACTACAAAATGGAGTCTGGATATATTGAGTGCAGACTGTTATGCAAGAGTCTCTAAATCACGCAGATGGCAAAGCAATACCAACCTCCAAGAGCGTCTTTCTCAAAATGCAACTTTCTAAACACAACCCAAAGGAATCAAGCCAATTTTCTTTCTCATGCTCCTTTACCTCCCTCCCAGCACCTTTTCTGCATACTGCAGGTTTGTTATAGGTACAAACTGCACATCTGCCTGAGAATAAAAATTCAGCTGTATGCTAAGAGAAAAGATGGATAAAAAATCAGTCCCTCTCAAAATGTACCCTGATACGTATCTTTTAACACACTGCAAAATCATATCTTTGGTATTATACTCTTTATTGGCAATTTAAACTATACACAAAAAGCAATGTTTAAGTATGTCAGTAAATTTAATTCCCAAGTAATCAAAGTTGTATGCTGCTACTGGAGATGAGAATCACTGTGAAGAGAACATAGCACTCAACATGTATCTGCAAGTTAGTCAAATCTCTGTGTGGGAGGAAGGCACAGAAATTTATTCAGGCTCCTGTTTGAATTCAGAGCACCAGTGTGAATTACACCAGAAGGCGAAATACAGTGTGGATAGAGAAACTTGGCAGCTGTCTCGTATAATAATAGGGAGGATATTGAAGCATTTAGAAGACAGGTGTACAGATGTCATTGGAACATTTTGTGTTTTTTTTTTTTTCATTTTAGGCACATCCTTTTATTTTCTTTTTTTTTCCAGCAAAGGTGTGGTTTCCTTGCAATAACCTCTTTCAAGGGTGTGCTGAGACAAATGCTAACATTATGACATATTCTGGCCAAATCCTCAGCTTCTTTGCCTTTTGATCTTCCCCTAGTGACTGGATATTTCAACTATAGTTCCCTTCATCCCAGAGACACTGAACTGCCTTGTTGCAGGAAACCAAGAATATTGAGTTTCAAAGGAATGAAAAAAGAAAGTTTCAGGAAAGAGTGGAACCACTTAAAAATGAGGTAAGGTTACAGAGAAAAGAGGTAAAGAAGTCAAGGTCATAAAGTCGAGGGTCCAGATCAGCCATATTTGCTGCAGAATGTTATTCAAGATGCCACTTTACAGTCCTAACTGCTGATGTTGCAATACCCCTGCATAAAGCCTCATACAATGTGCTCTACTGATTTTTTTTCTCTAGAGTAATGGATCAGTAGTTAAAGCAGCAGTGGGGAGCTCTCCAAATAAACACAGTGTCTTGAACAAATAATTTACAGCTATATCAGTAACAAAACTACAAGCCACTGGAGTAGTTTAAGGCTTGAAGACAGGGGCATGAGGAGGACCACTGAAAAAATATTAAACATGTTATTTCATCTGTAAGTTAGCAGTTTTTTCTTTGACATGTACCTTACACAAATCCTCAAGAGAAAAAAGAAAAAAAGAAAGTACATTTTTCCAGAAGTTCATAAAATAAGCATAATCAATGGACATAATTTGAAAGAGCTGCTCTTGGAAATAATATAGCATTATCAAACATACAAGCCCACTTATTTACTAGCCTAGTTAACCTAGCTATAGAAGTATGTAAGTATGTGGAGAGAAGCATACTTCATTAATTCTGAAGTCCTAGATAGCACACAGTCAAAACCTATGTCAATCCCAAAACTTCGAATGCATGCTTTGTTTGAGAAATTGAATGACCAAATCAATACAAAGCAGTAATACATAAAACTATATTGTTTTATTAAAAATACAAATATATATAAAGTAATACATAAAACTGATATTGACAGTACAGAAGCACAAATAGTTGGCACATCTGTAGTGTCTTTCTAATTATTAGTTTATTTTAAAATTTCACAGTTCTGTAAAACAATTTAACATGTTGTTTCCTTCTTGCAAGACAGAAAAGCACTTCTCTAAAATAAAAATTAGATAGAGTGCTTATAGAGATCTCATAACATGGCAGAGCTTCTATCCTGTACTTCCCCTAAAATTTGGAGTCCAGGTAAGATGATATAACAGAAAGTGGCCATAACACACTAAGAGTAGTCTTATATTGTACTTTAGTTATTGGACTGTTCTTATCTCAACCCATGGGGTTTACATTCTTTTGATTCTCTTTCCCATCTGTCGTGGTTTAACCCCAGCCATACAGCTTGTGCACCCACTCCTCCCCCCTTCTTGCCCTCACCCTACTCGCGGAGCGACGGAGAGGAGAACCGAAAAGAAAACGACTCCCACGGGTTGAGATAAGAACAGTTCAGTAACTAAGGTATAACACAAATCACTACTGCTACCACCAATAATAGTAATGATAAAGGAAATAACAAGGGAAGAGAATACAACACCTCATCACCAGGTGACTGATAACTCGCCCCCCCAGCCTGACCAAGCACCAACCGATACCTCCTCCAACCCTGCAGTCTGCCTAGCCCTTCCGGGTAACTCCCAGTTACCTCCTGGGCATGACGTGCTGTGGTATGGAATACCTCTTTGGTCAGTTTGGGTCAGGTGTCCTGTCTCTTGCTTCCTCCCGGCTTCCCTCCTCCCTGGCAGAGCAGGAGGCTCACAAAGTCCTTGGTCAAACCAAAACATCATTTTTATCAGCTCTGTTCCCAGCCCAAAAGTCAAAACACAGCACTGCACCAGCTACCAAGAAAGAGAAAAATGACTGCTACTGCTAAACCCAGGACATTATCCACCCCTTATTCCATACCATTCACGTCATGCTCAGATCCCACATTTTCAATATACCATCACTCTTATCTAAGTGCACTCTCATCGTAGTGCATGGACCAGTCCCTATAAAGCTGCTGAGTCCATCTGGTCCATGATGTCAGGCTCCATCTCTTGTAACAATCTTTCAGAGCACGAGAGGCTATGTGCAGTGCTCACACACATGAATAACATGGGCAATAGTGTCCATTGCTAAGTCCACCCCTCGATCATGAGTCCATCTCGATGTTGCATCTCTGCTCTGTTGGCCTTAAGGGTCATGGGCCCACCAGGCTCAAAATAATTCACTGTCCCCTCCAGCAGTTTCTGCAGCTTGTTGCTGGGGACTCCATACAGCTGCCTTCCATCTCCAATGTTTCCAAAGCACTGGAGGGGCCCAGTGGACTAGATACTTGCCCATACTGTCCCACATGCCCTGCCACTCATGGCTGTCCAGCCTTGGGGGAAACCTCTTGGTCCTCCCATATTGTTGTCTAACCCCAGACAAGACCCAAACCTGACTCTGCTTAACTTTTGAGATCAGACAAAATGGTGGTGGGTAAAACACACTCTGTGTGTGTGCCAACATGCTGATCCCCATCACAATCAGCAGGCAGGTCCCAAGGGTACCCAAAGGCCATTCAAAACCTTCAGAACTCTCAAGCGATGCTGCTGTACTTGTCACTGGGGCTGGTGTAGCTGCTGTGCTTGCCGGCTCTCCCACCACCAGCTTCTCTTTTCCTGAGCCCAGCTCTTCCTCCTCTGCCTTGCTGGGAAATGCTGCGGGGTCTCCTGCGTCCTCCTGGGGCTCGGTGGGCGGCTTCCGGGGAATGCTCTCGGCCGTCGCGGGGCTGGGCTCGGCGGCGGGGCTCGGCTCCTCCGCCGCCTTCTCCCGCTGCTCGGCAGCCGCCTCCTCCCACTCCTCGACCGCCCCGACCTCCTCCACCGGCAGCCGTCCCCTTGTGGCCTCCGGCACCGCTCCCGCCGCCGCTTGGTCCGCGGGCCCGCTCTTCCGGGCCGCTTCAGCAGACGCCGGCTCCCGGGGCCGCTCCCCCTTGGCTCCCCGCGGCCTCACGCAGACGGAGGCGAGGGCGAGGGCCAGGAGGGAGAGGAGCAGCCGGACGGCCAGGGGCCAGTCTACGGCCACGTCCATCCCGTCCTGCTTCTGGAGGCCGCCCGTATTACAAGTCATTGCCATAAAGTACAGTGAGACAGGAACCTTAGCCCAAGCCCCACACTTGATAAACACTAACACAGAAAATACCCGCTCTAAGTAAGTTGCAACATTCTGAAGCTGTGAGATCAAGAGGAACAA